AAAGAGCTCATAAGAGGAAAAAAGCTCATCACTGAAACTTACATTCTCTTCCCTCTACAACTTATATCCAGCATGAAAAGGAAAGGGCTGAAAAACAAAATAATAGAAATGGAATAAAGAATAAGACATCCCTGTTGGCTTGTCTGGGAGTTCTATTCTTGTTAAGTCATGCACTGTTTTAAATAATGGGGGAATTGAAGCAGGTTACTTATACAATAGGATCCTGAATTTGTATTACATTTGTCCTCCCAGAGCTCACTGAAACTCAGCTGGAAAGCTTGGCTGGCCCTAAACAAACTTTGAATTACTGAAACTGCCAATAAAGCTACAAAATAATTTATTTTACTTATTGGGATTGTACAGATACAGTCTAGAACGTTTTGTTGAGATGGTGTGCCTTTCTCTATTAGTCCTTTGCTCTGCTTACTGTCTGAAAACACTGTGCAAGGACAGAGCTGATTGCTCAGTTACTGTCTAGTGAGTTGTATATTTAGCACCTGGCCATCAAGATAGTCTTGATCTTTCTTCAAGGCTGGGCACTGAGATGCCAGAAAGAAGAAAAACATATACCAGCACTCAGGCTCCAGCAGCAGCTAAGTTAAACTTAGCTCACAGTTTCCTCAGCAAAATTTATCCCAGTTTTCAGACATCCCACTGAAAACTGCTTCAATAAATCAATGGGCTCAACTGAAAAAATCATCAGCTCAAGACACCAAGTAATCAAAGTGAACAAGACTGCTACTCAGCTGACCCTGCTTTGTGGTAAGTATCAGAGATAGTTCTGAGTCACAGTAGGGCCTTAACTCCTTCTGTGCATTGGGCAATTTGATTTAGCACAGTACCCAAGATTACCCTGTAAAAGGTCAAATCATTTACTCTTGGAGTGCTGCAAGGCAAGTTCAGGAAGTTTCTGCATACTCAAACAGAAAATTAAAAGTGCCTGTTCTAAGAAAGATGCAATGATGGATTAATGAATCTTCAATGGAGAGATGCAGAGAAATACCAAAGGAAAAAAGTGGGAAGAGATTCACCTTTCCCTTTACACAAAGAGCCTGCATTTACAGCTGAGTATTTACAGTTAACAATGAGTTAGAATTAAGAGGACAACATTTATTTAGCCAAACTAACTGAAAATACTAATTTTTAAGAGAATTCCAGCTTTTCTTCTGTCTAAAATCAGTGCACTAGACATTTGTGCTGACATTTTGGGGCCAGATTAGCTCAAATTTACCATGAAAGTGGTGAGGGTTATAAGTCAAGCAGCATTTCTGGGGATCATCCTGCTGACAATCCCTCTTGAATTATCTACTGCTCTTGAATTATCTACTGTCATAACTCTGTTTTAATCCTGTACCAGGAATGTTATGCTAATAATATAGCCCAGGGAAATGATAGGAACAGTCCAAGGAGGTTATCATGTGGAGAGCCTTCTTTTTCACGTCTGAGCAACACTAGAATTGCAACTCAACTCTATTAAACTGCATGCAACAGCTTCACATGTTGATTATTTTGTTTGTTTTGTTTGCTCTTATATGTGGGCAACATTAGGAAGCCTGCAATATTGCTAAGGTAAGACTGAAAACAGGAATGATGAATCTCTATCTTACAAGGATAAAATTACTAAAGTCACTAAAAATATGATCCTCATCTGAGCTGTGTTTGCTACACGTTCCTAAGATTTTCTGCAAAAGAAAATAATTTTGGAGATCCAAAGTATTAGATTCCTTTGGCAGCTTTTTATGCCAATGCCAAAACACAATCCCAAACAAATCAGACTGTTAACTGGACATATCTAAAGTCCTAATTTTAAAGAAATTCCTCCTAGTCTTTAGGCAGAAGGGAATTGAAAACTGTGAGTTGTTTTGAAAATTGCCCATTTATTTTCCAGTGACAGAAGGAACAAACCACTGAGTCTCCTGCCCCCTTACACAGCATGTGCAAAGAACTGGGAAAACAGAACTGCCAAGCAATCCCAAATGGAACAGCCTCATTTATTGGAGCTGTTACAGCTTGGGTAAATGACAGTGCAAGTGCAGGCCAGATCTGCACTCCTCTGAATGCCAGCACTTCTGTCTGAACAGTCACATCAGTGTTGCCACACAGAATTAACACCTACACAGCCGATCCAAACCAAAGGCAGTACCTTCTTCCATACTTGTTCCTCAGCAGGGGCTCTCAGAAAGGCACACTCAACACTAGTTTATTTCTGAACTCAGAACCCCTTCAGCTGGGCAGGGAGTGAGATGAGATGCCAAAAGCATTATTGCAAGACAAAGCTCATCCATACTTTGTGCTGCAATGTCTGTACTTTACTTGATAACTTCCCTAATCATCATCATTGGTGAGGAGCCACTCAGTACCTGAGGAGGCCAGCCTTGTTGGGTAGCAGTCATTCTTTTAAATTTCCATCCCTGGTGGTTGCACCTTCAGTTTGAAATTACTGCAAATAAACTCTGCAGACAGCTTACCTGATAAACCTTATGAAACCCTACTGCAGAAATTTATGGAAAATGAGGGGCCTATTTACAAGAAAAACAATGTTTCTGAGACTGATCTGAGGCTGAACAGCTGACAAAACAGTTTGGAAGATCAGATTGTGATTAGAAGAAAGGATAAAAGACCAGGAGAAAGACTTGCAGAAAATTAGCCCTTGACAGAACTATCTGAATTCTCCAGTGAAGGAAATTGACCAGGCTGGAAGGAAACTCATGGGTCAAAAGCAAATCACACAGAGTGAGTCACTGAGGAAAACAGACAGCTAAATCTATCAGTAAGCTACTTTCCAGAAAGCAAATAGGATTGTTTGCACAAGATGGCCCAGCCAGTGCAGTCTCAGTGCTCAGCTTTTCATAAGTGGTGACCCCAATGGTATTTCAGGGAACTTATTCCAAGGCCATATTTCTGAAACTTCATTTAAAATATGAGATTAATACTGCCACTAGTGCTTTCTAGAAAAATGAGATAGAGGATTTTGTCCCTCCAAATGGCAGGCACAAGTTTCTGGGAACAAGCCTGCAGCCTCTTTCAGAGTGCTGAGCGGGCAGAGCTCCCATACTTTCAAGATCCCCAGTCCTGAGTGACACATGGAGAAATATACAAGCTTGTGTGTTTCATTCTGTTTCAAACAAAAACAAAAGTCTGAAGCAAAACTGATCCACCAGTCATCAGAACTGGGTTATTGGACATTTCCCAGTCATCCTTGCTGGTACTTTTACCAGGGAACAGAAAATCAGGTTCTTGAAGGCCTGGGAAAGACTCAGGCCTTCAAGAAAGTCATTAAATCTGATTTTTTCTATCACACATAGAATGGGGTAATCTAACAGCACATCAAGAAATAAACATAATTTCCCACCATCTGGATCATGTTTTCCAGCCTAAATCAGCAAATATGGTACTTTATGAGGTTGCTCACCTCATCACAAGATGAAAAATGTTTCCATTGGGGATTTAAGCCAACTTGTCAGTGGAATATTTTTGCAACTGCTATTAAGTCATAATCCATATAAATATGAATTTTGGCCAAAGATAAATATAGAAATAATTTAGATCAATTTTTCCTGGCCTTGTCTACGCATCCTGTACATTGGACTTGAAGCGTAAGGAGACTTGAGGTTCCATACGACAAGAAACACTAAACCTGAACTGCGACCCTTTAAGCGGGCAGGAGCTGAGAAGTTTCTCGAACGGGCTGTGTATTTCAGCGATTCCATGCCGAGTTTATCGCGGCCTTCTCGGCCCCTCAGTGCGGGCCTCGGCCCCGGTGCCGCCCGCGCCGCCGCCCTGTCCCTGGTGCTGACCGGGCACGGCCGCTCCTCTGCGGAGCCAGCGCGGGGAACAGGCTTTTCTTTTTTTTAAATTTTGAACAAACTCATAAAGCAGTGGCGCTGCCATTGCACTGAGAAAACCATTGACTTTCTGCAGGCTACTTTGGGGAGCATAATATAAAAAGCTAAAAAAGCAAACCAAACAGAACTGCTGAATAGAGGGACGTATGGAGCGGGCTGCCTGGTCCTTGACAGCACTCGGCAGGACCATGTGGAGGCACCACAAGGCTCAATCTCTGAAATCATACCAACATCACTATCCCGGTGGGCAATTAAATTGTTCCTTCTGCATTTTTTGTCTTCCAAACCCTTTGTCTTCTGTCGGGACATCGTTTTAACTTTTCCATTTAACTAAAACGACCATTGCTGATCAGCAGCAGTGAATCAGCGGGGGAAAACAACCTCGCCCGCACTTTTCCTAGGGGTCAGTGAACGAAACCACCGTTCTCACTCGTGTTCCGGCGGCGAGCAAGGGGGCTGAAGGCTGCGAGCTCCGAGCCCGCAATTCATTAACGCACAAGGCTCAGGAGCTTTTGCTGAACTTGGGCAGGACAGCAGCCCCTCCCGGCCGCCCTCGCCGCCTTCCAGAGCGTTCCTGGTCCCACCCGCGGGCGCAGCCCCCCCGCTCCCGCCGCCATTTCATCCCTCGCATCCTTCCCTGAGGGCTCAGACGCGGAACGCCCGCCCCCCGGGATACCTGCTGCCCCGCAGCTCGGCCGAACCGCTCCCCACAGCTCTGTGTAACCTTCCCGCTCTGCCACCGCGGCCCCGAGGTGATCTCGGCCCAAACTCGGATATTTACACACCGCCGGCAGCGGCTTCTCGCGGATCGCTCCCTGCGCCACCGCTTGAGGCAAATCCCCTCCCGCGGCGCCTGGCCCGCCCAGCGCCCCCTCACGGCGGGACGGGGAGCGGCCGCCTCCCTCGGCGCGGCGCTCCCGGCGGCCCGGGCGCTTTAAAGGCTCCACCTGCGGGGCAGCGGCTCTTCCCTCGCCTCGGGGGCGGGCGGGTGCCGCGGCGCTTCCCTCGGCCCCGGCCCCGGTCGCGGCCGCCCCCTGGCTGCGGGGCCGATGTCCGTGGGTGCGGCGGCCGCGGCTCCCGCGGGGGCGGAACCGGGACCGGGACTCACCCGGCGCGGCCCGGGCAGCGCTGCGCGGCCGGAGGCGGCGGGGGGCGGCCGCTCGGCCCGGAGGTGCCGGTGAGCGAGACGCTGCGGTGCAAGGTGGGTCGCGCCGCGACTACAGCGTGTCTGTAGTGGAAAATTAAACCCCGCAGAGCCCTCACTGGGAAGGCAGGAGTAGGCGAGGCTGAAGAGTAACTTTTGGGAGGCTGCTTAGTTATCTTGCACCCGTGTGGTTATAGGCGCGCCGCTACATCAGCGTGCTGTGGTGATCCCTGAGGAATCTGCGATGGCCAAATTACACTGACGGCGCAGGATCCCTCTCGTAAGGCTCGTTGTGCGCTCCCCCAGCTGTGCCAGACCTCGGGCCGTCAGCAGGCAAAGCCTCGCTGTTTTCTCTTTCCCGAGGCCAAATAGTCAATTACGTTCACCTCCATCAAGGCACAGATTACATTAGTCATGGGATTACTGTAAACTTTCCTGGTTTCACCACAGAGCTGGAGAACAACAATGAAAGCATCACATTTTGCAGACTTCTTTTTCTGCCTCAAGTACATGAATTGTAGATTGAGCACTGTGTTTTAATCCAGTTTGCTGCTGTTGACTCATTTTCTCACCTAAAGTGGGTAACCTAAGTGCTGTGGTTTTGTTTATAAACAGAATACGGTTAAAACAATGGATGTTTAGGCGTTCTTTACCTTAATATAATAATTTTTTTATTATGGGAAGGTAAATACCATAGAAGTCCTAAGTATTTAATGGTATAGTAAGTGTCTTTAAAAACAATGACTGAAAAGCTGGTAAGATAAGAACTTCCTAACATACACCTAAGTCTTCACAGTCCAGAGAGGTGTCTTCCCCTTCCCTTTCATGGTGAATCTGTCTCTCCACAGGTTTCCAGTTTAATACACTTACCAAAAAAAATCTTAATATCTTTAAAAGTTTATTTCTGACTAAACTGTGTTGTATACCAAATCTTTTATGGTAGTGAAAGGAGGTTGGTGTAGGGAGAAAAAGGCCATGCAGCAGGGGAAAATAAGTGTGATATACAGGTGGTTTTATTTTTTGTAAAGATGGAAATAGTCGTGGTGAAGGATCTAGAGGGAGGGGTAGATAGCAAAGTTGGTTAATTGGTAAAGAGATATTGGCAGCAGCAAACAGCCAAACAGGAAACATTTGAGCTGCATTTCTGAAGGCATTATATTATAGAGACAGAAGATAATATTTTTTTATATTGCTCTAGCATATCTCCCCAGCATTATCAGCTTTTTCTGGAACCCACAAAGCACAGTCTTAGTAAGGTATTGACAATACAGAATGTGGTGAAGCCAAGTGTGATAGAAAATTTAGTGGCTTCAGAAAGATCAAGACTTAGGACAACTTGGTAAGGGGGCTAAAATGATCTCAGAAATCCTAAGGTCTGTGAGAATTGAAGGATTTTAAATCAACAAGTGAAACAAAGCTGTATATGAAGTACAAGTAGGATTAGGTCAACTTAGTTCAGAGTTCAGCAGTGAAGGGAAGGAGATCACAATGAGCTCTTTTGCAGCATAGTCTTAATTTGGAAGCAATATTGAACTTGTGGGTAAAAATATCTTCGCTCTTGATAATTAATTTTATATGCAGTTTGCCACTGGCAAGGTAGGAATTCAGAGCTATTTTTTTTTTTTTCATCTCTAATATGTCAGTTTCAAATTCCTTAGCATTGCTTGGCTAATACATACTAAGTGTGTACTATTTCCTCTTGTGGATGGCAATGAAGATCAGTCCCCAAGTACAGCTGTTGATTTAATGTGAAATGTACTTATCATTGGGTTGATTCAAAACTTTGGAAAACTGTAGGATTACATGTATTGAACAGCTGGTTCAAAGCTTGGGTTTTCCTCATGCATGTGTTTAGTGAGTAGTTTCTTCAAAGGCTCCATTTACTTCACTTTTCCACTTATCTGAAGGATTATAAGTGATTGTCCTGGGGACAGTGCAGGAATCCATGGGACAAAAAGGGTGTGTTTGTCATAAATCCTAATGCTGCCTTCTTGTACTGCCACTCCCTCAGGTGAGGGAGACTGAAAGCAAGACAATCTTTTTGCCTGGGGTTTTTTTTTTTTTGGCTTTTTTTGTTGTTGTTGTTTGGGGGTTTTTTTGTTGATTGGTTTTTGTTTGGGTTTGTTCGACTGGGTTTTTTCCCTAAGGAAAAGTCTCTCCATCTTGTTGAACATCTTTCTATTAAAGAGGAGATGATAGTTTATTCATGCACGGCACAAATCTTCCACTTGCCTAAACATAAAACGTTGAAACCATGACCTTGTAAGCATCTTTTTATTTGCCAGAGATTCATAGTCTGTTGCAGCTCAGAAGTCAAGCTCTCAAGCAATGCGCTTCTGAAATCCTTGATGATCCAAATGATACAACCTTGCTGCTGCAGTAACAGTAATTCAAGTCTCCCCTGTGCCACAGGAGCTAAAATATAACCCCTGACTAATGTGGCCAGCTTTGTGAAGTAGTAGCAACTTGCACAATTGGAATTTCCATTACTTGTTTCCTTCCACCTTAATTTAGCCTTGCCACTAGTGGCTTTTGTTTCATTCACTTCACGTGTGTGCGCTCCCGAGCCCGCAGCTGCGGCTGTCCCGAAGCCTGCTCGCTGGAATACGCACGGCACGGTCTCCTAGCACGTGTGAATTGTTTCCCTGCTGTAACATCTCTGCTGGGCTCGGGCAAGGACAGCTCTGCTCGGGCTCAGAGGCGTTTGCTGGAGGTGGTGGCACTCTCCTGTGCCTGGTGCCCATCCAGCTTCCTCACAACTGTTCCCATCAGTCAGCTGGGAATAGCCTGGGGCGGGAGGGGGGCTGCCTGGGGAGCTCTGGAAAATCCTCTGGTTTGATATGTGTGGAGAAAATGTCATCCTGCACCTGGAATATGTTTTTTTGTTTAAATGTCACCCCTTACATCAGTGACCTCATCTGACTCAGCACTCAGCATAGCTTCTCTCTGAAGGGAGGGAGCTTTAAGCAAGTCATGGATTTTGACGTAGCCAGAGAACGTAGGGAAGAAGGCGCACCATGAGAAACAAAATCTGAGCAAACAAAAATTATTTTTGAAAGAGACTAGCAGGCAATTATGTAAAGCAACTTAAAACCTAATCTAAACATCAGACTCCTCTGAAAAAGAAGGAAATTGACAGTTCTGAACACACAGTTGATTTCAGCCTCTGGTTTCCCAGGAGGTTTTGCCGAGGTTTGTGCTGGTAGCTGTGGCGACACTGTACCTGCTACACTGATGTCTCACCTTTGAAAACAGGGCAGGGCTGAAACAGCCACCTGGGTGAATCACCAGCTTTGTTATTCAGAGGCTGATTGTACTGAAAGTCTGTGGAAGGTGAAACCTGTGCTAAGGGCATCCCTACGAAATGGACCTGTGACTACAGCATGAGCTTCTTTATTAGGAGCAGAGTTTTCTTCAGACAGGCAGAGGGGACACAGACACTAAGAGAGGCTTAGAGTGAGAAAACTCTGGAATATTCTTTCTCTGAATCGCACCTGATAGGGATAGTGCAGTTGCATGCAAGAGCTGTGGTCCTGGTGTGTTGAAGGGGAATGTTGGCCAAGACACTGGCAGATCCTCTACACTTTCCTTTTAAAAATGCCAAGCTATGCTGAACATCCGTGCAGACATGGACAGAAACCAAAGGAGTAGGAACAAGTGACCTCAGTTTAACATTTCATTCAAATGACAGAGACCCGAATGCGATGCCCACTCTCGTTTCTTAGCTCACCACTCAGCCTGGAGGATCTCTCACATCCTTTCAGATGTCCTGATAAGAAAATGGCATGTTAGAGATGTGAAAGTAGGACAGAAGCACACAGTGTTTGATTAAACAGCTTCTCTGTTTCTCAGTGCTTAGCTCTCTTCAGTTTATTGTGTGGTTTTATTCTGTTCTGAGTTTTGCTTCCCCCCCCTTTTCTGTTATCGACACAAATAACTGAAGATTTAGGTATGGGAAGGTAACATGCACAGAATTTTAAGTCTGTAAAACTGTGGTCTTTATTCTAATACTTATTTATGTGATACTGTCTTTAGTAGTGAAGCAATGACTTGCTATGTTTATCTTACTCCTGCTTTTATTCTGTTCTCCTGAACTCTTGAAATGGAGCCAAGAAAGGGCACTAAAAACAGGAAAGAATTCCTGGGAAAAGTAAAAGTACAATGAAAATATGACTTCAAACCTTTGTGTGTACATGCGGCTCTCAAAAAAAATTATCAGAACTAGATAAACTGGCAGGCTAGGAAACTGCCATTTTAAGTCCAACAAGTCCATTTTGCCTCCCTTCAAAGTAATTATCCAAACATCAGTGATTCTGGACTCACAGAGCACAGGTTATATATACTCTGAATGTAAATGTATCTTTGAGGTAATAGTGAGACATCAAAACCCTGCTTTATTCTCAAGCTCTATCTTGCTATTTGCTTTCGTTTTGGTTGGGGCCAGTTCCACTGGCTTAGTGCAACTTTTATTTAAATCTGTGTGGATTGCTGTGGTTTAATGTGGACCTCTGGCTAAAACAGAGGTTCATATGGTTTAGTCTAGTGCCTATGCAGAGATTAATTATTCCCTTGTACAAATGGCTTTTCTGGCACTGTGAATGCTAGACAAGAACTTCTATTGCTTCATGGTTTTGAAAAATTATTGACCATCTCTTTAGACAAAGACTGAGTTCCTGGTAGTGTTTGCTCTCTGCTGTTTTGTAATCAAATATTTGTCATGGTTTAAGGTAGGTGTATTGGCAGGGTGATCAATGTTCAAGCTGAGCTGCCTCACTCTAGTGCATTGTGTGGGCTTGCTTGTCTTTTTGATTATCAAAGTAGAACCCGTGTTTGAGGGACATTTCCCCCCCCCCCCCCCCCCTTTTTAATACAATGGCAATTTCTTTCTAACCAGAGGATAGAGGAGGATAAATGCTGCAAAGATACAGAAGAGGGGTTCTGGAGGTCCTGCACAAATTGATGACTTGAAAGGGGTGAGTGTTAATTACTGTTTGTAGCGTTACCCTGAGAGCAGAAACTTTTTGTTTGTATCTGTAGTTCTGCCAACAGCTTCTTCACTATCCTCGTGCCCTCTGTATTTTAGCAATTTCCAATCCAGGGCAGAAATGCTATCCAGCATTACTGAACAAGGGTTATAGTTTTATGGAACTCCTAAGAACTGGAATGTACACTATGAAAAAATCAAGGAATTAATCAAGGCAGCAATTAGCTGACTATTTGTATTCTTAGCCTTTAATTCAAGCGTCACACCTTTAGAAGACTTGTATTAAAATGATGGAACAAGTATGTAGTGAAACTGTGCTTTTATCACAGAAATTATATACTGATTAGAGGTGTCCCATGATCTTTCTGTGTTCAGAAAAAATAAATGTTAATTTTTCCTAGGGAAAGCAAGGGCTGTGGAACCAAGAGCCAAACATGAAGTTGTGGGATTTTTTGTCAGTGATGCTAAATACATGTAGTATGTACATTTTTCAGTTTAACAAAGCATTGCAGAAGGTTAAGGTTGGTGCCTTTTCTGTTACATGTGGGACTATCTATATAGAAAGAGCTTGTATTATATGTCACAGTGCAAGATAGCTTTCTGCTGAAGCAGAATTTAAAAATGGCTTTGTAGTTGTTAACAGGTTAGTGAAGACTTGGGTGTTTGAGATTTTAGAGTGGGATTTTGTTTGCTTGTTTTATTAAAACATGTGTTTTGTCCATAAAGTGACTGAGCAGCATGAGGGGCTTGAGGAGCCTAGAAAGATCTGTCCCCTTCCGTGGGGACTATATTAGACCTGTGAGTCATGAAGTCTTTGCATAGTAGGTGTCTGGTTACAAACCTTTTATGGGCCCTCCTCAGCTGGGATATCAGCATCTGCATTATAGCTCCCATCTATTCTTAGGTGCTATCAGAGCACGACTGAGCAGGCAAGGCGGAGAGAGAATTGCTTTCATTTATGTAAAACCCTTCCCTGTTCTCAGTCTGTTGTTTCACACTTTTTTCTGTCTGCCCATCCTTCTGTCCTGCAGTGCCCTGTTGCTGCCTGTGGAAGTGGTACAACATGGCTTACAGTGTGACTCTGAACGGACCTGGACCCTGGGGCTTCCGACTGCAAGGGGGCAAGGACTTCAACATGCCCTTGACCATCTCCAGAGTAAGTGTGCAAGAAAACCTTGTTGAGCTGGTTTGGGTTGGAAAATAGCAGTCATGTGTACACTTTGACCTGGCCTAGGAGAATTGAAGATCTTTGCACCTAGGTGTGAATAAAGACAATATAATGTGAACTAGAAATGTGCCGGTTTGAAGTACAACCTGGCATTGCTAATGCTTCAGGAAGATAGTTCTGGTTGGTATATTTGTATGGATGGTGATACTGCCTCTTTTAAGTAATCTTCCAGTTCTATTCTGTACAGTGTTGTCTCTCTTTCTGCTGGTAGGGGCCTCACTGGTGCAATTTGGGGGGAAGGGAATAGAACAATTCTGAATGGGAAATAGAATTATATTTCTATAAAATAAACATGTAACTGCTTGTAAGTATGAGAAGTCAGGTGTTAAAACTGAACAAAGACAGGGATGTGTCCCCTCTTGTGATGGGGTGCAATAGTTGGATAAAAATTAGACATGTCAAGCAGAAGGCTCTGTAGTACTTAAAATACTGTCTTAAATTATGCAGAAGCCTTCCATTTGCAGCTGACAAACAGCATGAATTTAATAATTAATTACTTGGTGTATCTGTCAATTACAGCCATGTATCTTCTAGCTGCCTTTTTCTTTTCTCTTCTCTTTGAAGCATTATTTTAAGGTGTTGCAGTTCAGTACTCCTACTACCTGAATTAGCTCCGGTTCTTAAATATTTTTAACACTGAATAATTTTCAGGAAATTTGTGCTTCCCTTACCTACTTTTCTTTTGTAAGACAGTTCTGTGTGATTTCTGGTAGCTCCCTTCTTCTTTTCTTGTTTCTGACAGTCTCAAATGTGCTCCAGAATGCTCAGATCTTTCTAGAGAGGTCTTGGCTCCTCCACAAATCACCTGCACAAGGCTTATTTTGCAGTACAGTGACAAGAGGGGTTACTTACATAACAGTAAGAGAAATACCAGAATGATTTAATCAGACAAACAAGTAAAATGCAAATAAAAGGTCCGCTCCACTCAAAAATAGTAATAAAAAAGCCACCTACACTGCTTTTAAAACTATGTTGTTTTTTTCACAATGAAAAAATACAGTGTGTTAAGTTGTGGGCACAAAATGTATGTCTCTGCCACAAATGTGATTCAAAGTCAGTTGGTGAGCTTTTGAAATCTTAGCTATGCTGTTTCATATTCATGCTGTGAAACTGTATCATCTGATCTCCCTTGTTCTTATGCACATTCTCTTTCTTGGAAGACAGAGCCACGTTTACCCTAATACTATGATGGTAAGACATACTTTTCATAACTCCTTTTGTAGCAGAGTAATTGCAAAGAAGGCTGCTCTGGCAGTTTTATCAAAAGCAAACAAGCAAAAGGCAACCTAAAATACCACCCCATCTACAAAAATAAACTCCCTTCATAAACTCAGAATAATTTTGCTCCTGCAAATAGTGTTGGTATTTCTTTACTTATCCCACCCAAGGTAAGTGCAGAGAGGTGTCATCCTACTTTTTAGGTGTTTTCATTACACTTTGCAGCCTGCACTGAATGGTGTTGATTATTTTCTTATAAGTCATTCAGTCATCCTAGGGTCTGTCAGCCATGGGCCAGGGCTGTAGCACTTGCAGTGTATGTGACACAATCAGCAATGAAAAGCCAATTGTTTCCCAAAGAGCTCATTGTCTCAGATTGTAATCTGTGGAAGTGTAAACACTATGCCCAAAGGCTGTATGATTCTCAGGAGGCTTTTGAGAGCATGGGAGGAGCAGAAGTGAAACTGCAACAGCTGAATTCCCAGAGGTGTGGAGGAATTAGCTCTTCACTGAGCTGACTGCTTTTTCAGCCGTAGCAGTGTCAGAAAACACTGCTAAGTGTCTTTAAACTCCTCCCAGCGAGGCCCAGTTTTTAGCTGGGACTACAGCTTTGGGATGGGATTGGAATTTAGAGCCTGCCTTATGAGGGCACAAGCAGACATACAGGAATTACAATAGCCTCTTTCAGGGGGAGATGGGATAGTTATGCCTGCTGTTTGTGATGTTTTTGATTGCAACATAGTGTAATACATTACTTTTGATGATAATCTGGTTTTTTTCTTTGTCATCTATCACATAAATATATCTCTAAACAGATCAGAAATTTCGGTCGTGAGTTGACCTATGAACTCAGCCATAATTGCAGTCTTATTGAGGTGGGAAGATGTACTTACATTTTAAGATATTCCTGGTGGGGAGGAGAGGAGAGAAGATAACTGTGAGGAGAATCTCCTTCTTGGAGAGGGCACACAGCTCTAAATGTTGCTAGTGAATGCTGTACACCTATTTATGGACTGGTTTTGATCCACAGCTGCCCTGAGATGAGATTAGAGTTTCTATGTGTAAGATGAGTCCTAAACTCCAAAAACTTCAACTTAAAGAGTATTATAGTTGCTTTTAGTATCAGATGTGCCATGGCCCTTTTGGCTGCATGTGCACAGTGTCCTTCTAAGCCTGCAGACTGGGTTTGCATGCAGACATGTTCACTGTGCTCTGAGTGCCCCCAGTTAATTAGACTGTCTGTGGGTGCGCCACAGAGAACACAAGAATTCCTCCTTTTTCATGAAGGCTCTGTGCTCTTCTGTCATGCTGCAAGAGCACTGCCTCTAAGCTCCTGAGAAAAACACAGCAGGGTTGTTCATCCCATCTGTAGTATTAGACCAGGAATTTCCAAGCACCCTCCCAGAAGAGGACACCAGTATTGTGCCATTGTGCCCATGCACAGACATAAAGTGGGTGCCTGTTGAGCTGCACTCTGTCAGCCAGCCCTATACAATTCCCACCCACCTCACACTTTACCTGGAGAGCAGGGGAGAAATCCTGAAGGTCTTTGAAACCTGCTGAGAAAAGCACAATACAGGATTGTGGGATTGCTAATGCTTTTGTTCAGGAAAAATATTCTTAACACAGTGGATGAGGAAGGGAATTGCACAGTGCTGTTTGGCATAACAGTTCACTCCTACAGAAATCTTTAAAATGGTGTCTCAGACACTGCATTTTCTTCCATTCAAGTAGGCCCAGGTGATCAGCTCATTGCTGAATAGTTAGCAGCATAACGCACAGGAGTCACAGTCAGTCAGCTGGGTGACAGGTGAAGATGTGTTCCCCTGAAATGGATTGTTCTGCTTATCTGTTCTTTATCTAAAAATAAATGCCTGACTAACATAGGGGATGGAAACAAGAAAGCAGCAGACAAAAACAAATAGGGAAGAGTGTGAAGCTCTGCAGCTTTCACACTCCTTTAACAATAGCATTGGGAAATCATCTGTAAACTATTTTTCCAGTCCCCACCCTGCAGACCATCCTACCCACTAGAAAAATTCTGTTATGAGATGTCAAATTCTGTCATGAGATGTCATGAGCAGGTAGCAGACATAGGAAAACAGTATTGACAGACTTAATAAAGCTAAGCATCTGTCAGCCCTGCTGAAATGAATGAGACTTGCAGGTTGTTGGCAGTGCTAAGCACTGTCACCAGTGGCATGATCACATACATAAATCTGGTCTTTCCAAATTGATGTGGGCAGCAAAGCTGTTTATTTTCTCCTACTGCTTGAAGCAAGGAGAATTCATTAATTTTGTAGACCTAATCCTCTGTAAGAAGGCTTTTGGACATAGTTAATTATCTAAGTGCTCAGTTGCCATGTTACCTAAGATGATACAACTGTACATGGTTGGATGCTATAACAGAACATCTTCATATAGTTCTGAGTCTTTGTTTCTGAACAATAAACTTTTCTAGTGAGACAGGCTGGCTTGCAGTTGATGCAATGAGCTGAAAGATGTGAAGGAGCAGCTGTTATCTGAGGTAGTGGAAATATTATCTAAATCACTGTGGTAATCTATACAGTTTTGTATTTCCTAATAGAGAGGTTTTTTAGCTGCTTGGGTTCCAAATCAAAAGCCAGAGCCTGAAACAGGAGATAGTGGTTAAACAAAACAAAAACATTCAATAAATACTTTATTTGATTAAGTGATGAAAAGGTTGAAATCTGATGAACATGTAAGTCCAGGGAGGGAAAACAGCACACACTGCTACAAAAAGAATTAAATTAGCTGATCTGTATACTGACTCTGCTACAAGCAACCTGTAACAGCTTTTTGAGTCTGGGGGAAAACCCTGGTCTAGCATTTTTCAGTTTGTCTCTGCAGGAGCAGGAAGGTTTTTTTCTCAGAGTTGTTAGGCTCTTTCCCTTTATCAGCATCTCTTGCTGATTGCTTCCTGTCCCTCCTCCCCTCCCTAGCATACATATGCCAACCTCTGGCTGTCGCTGCCTTTGCTTTAGAGGAGCTGTGTGAGAGTATTCATTTCCTGTGGGCTGTTGCCTATCAGTGCCTTACAACAGGCAGCTGAGGAGGGAAGGCAGTCCCTCTTCACTTTTTTTCTTCTATTCTTGAATGAGGGGAAGCCTCAGATGATCTAGGTCAGGCTCTGTGCATTCTGCAGCTGTCCTTTGAATGGCCACGTGGTGCTGTACATAAACTGTAATCAGAAAAATGCAGTTCACCTGTATTGAGTGAACTGAAACAATTTAGGAAGTTCTCTTGAAGTGCTGGTACCACATCACCTGCTAAGCATCCACCTTTGGTGAATCAGACTGCTGAGTAGCTGTCATAAAGCTGCAACTGCTTTTTCTTATCTCCAAATAAGAAGTCCTTCACTATGCCAAAAGCTATAGATTAGTATTTATAATAGTTGATATTCTACAAAACTAACAGATAAGTCTGATGTGCTCCAGAAGTCTAGGAGTCTTCCTTTTTAACCATTACTCAGTAGAGATGTTTCCTTTTTTCTTTAAAGTTCAAATGACTGAGTCAGCTTCTAAGGAAGTGAACCTTTTAATATAATGAATGTATTATGCCTAGACACACTGTAGTAATTTCTTATGCCTTAGCAGTTTCACACTTTTCCAACCTTCTTACAGTCTAACTCAAAATAGTTCTTGTCAGTGGAAGGTTAAATACTTCCAGACTAGATTTTCAGAACACTC